CTCTCTCTCTCTCTCTCTCTCTCTCTCTCTCTCTCTCTCTCTCTCTCTTTATCTACATCATTCTATATCATATCTATATCATATAACTTAATATTTTATAAATGCATAACAATTGTTAACAATTACAATAGAAATAACAACAACAATTGTTTCTTTATCTTTGTTAACAACAATTCAAATAATAAAAGAATGATATAAAAGTAATTTGTTGAACGTCGACAAATATAGGTATTAATGCATTTTATGTCACGAGTCAACGAGAATGATTCGTACTTTATGAGTTCCTTAATATCAAACTGCTTGGCTAAATCCTCCGATCTAATAGGTAAAGCCATTAAGATCCTTTTGTCGTAAGATTTTTTAATTATTTCGTCTTTGAGACTTTTGACAAAATTATAAAGACGCTCCTTTGAGCCTGCCGTTACGTTCAGTTCTACGCCATCCACCTTGAACAGAGAAAAGACTTCTTTCTATCATCTCATCAATGTGTACTTTCGCAATTTAACATTTGCATTTAGATAATTTTGTTTTATGTTTACCTTAACTAATATTTTTCTAACAATCTACACAATTATTTACGACTATTTATATATTAAAATATTATATCCAGTCTCACATATAGACACACGCACGCACGTACGCACGCACGCACATTATAATTATTCGATTGTTAAGTCATGTTATCTTCTCGATAAGATTTTAAGATGTCAATAGAAAACGTCATACCCGTCATGGTGTCATACCTCTTTCATAACGGCAAGAATTCGAGCGATAGTTTCCTGTCGTACCATGGCGGAAGTTCTGAGTATCATCGTAGGATCATGTATAGAAATTACAAACTGTAGAGGTGGATGCATTTCTTTTAAAGATTTCCGCAAATCAGAAATGTCTGAAACATTTTATTCACGATACTGAACAACAAGTTTTGATCAACATTTTATTTCTCAATAAGTAATCTCAATAAGTTGTTTCTTTTAGGACTTAACACTGAATAAAAATATGCTTTTCAAAAAATTCCATTACCCTTCAATTTTTATAAAAACTCCGCTGTTAATTTCTTATGCAATAACGCAAATTCGTAACATGTATAATATATAAACATATAGAAATTTAGTAAGAAATTTAAATATATTTTGACAGTAAATGTGAAAATAAATGTATAAAGTCTCTTTATATATTAAAATATTATATAAAAATTGATTGCTGATATTCTCTTAATATCAATTAATTACTGATTTACAAGATTTCTGTTTTTCGAATCTGAATAATGATTTCTATAAATTTTGTTCCTTAAAATAAAGGGAAAAAAGATTAATTGTTTAAATTTCTAGAATTTTTTAAAAATAAAGTCATTGTTTTTCCAAAATCCGTAAGCGATGGAACCGTTTTAATTTTATATTCCTTTTTTAACAGCTTATATCACCGCGCGCGCGTTTAGGTATTAAGAAACAAAAATCTTATAAATCAGTGTAATTAATAATATAATTAATAAAATATTGCGCTTACCAGAAATTGAAAGATTTCGTATGTCATGATTTTGATGCACCAGAGTGGTACAGTCGCACACAGAGCTACTTAAAAGCTTATTAACGTCGAAGATGGAAGTATAGCAAAGAATCTCTCTGACAGGCGAAGTTTTTCTCTGTGGACATTCTGTAACAGATTAAAATATTTTAATCTTGCAATACAATTTCACATTTGACACAATAAATGTATTTAGTTGGAGCGAGCAAGAGAAGCGGAAGTTTCAATCAATTGATATCATCGATTGATCATAGTGCGTTTATTGTGATTGTGATTATACTTAGTCTTTCGCATAGTCACGCGAGCTCTCTAAAAAAGAAAGAAGCGTTCAAAAGATGATCCGTAGAAGATTAAAAAGAGAATTGCTTATGCCTTATTAATAATCAATAGTCCCGGATATATTGAGATAATAACCGTGTGCATTTATCGCGCGTATGATCGAACGTAAACGTTGCGTACAGATTGCAAGACGCTTGCGAAAATTCTTCACATAAATATAAATATTATTTCCTCACATATAAATATTATAAATGTCATTTATGCCACGTGCGACTCGCTCTTGCTGAACGTTTAATTAGACAAGTAAAAGCAAGATCTATTAAAGGCAGATGCAAAAGAATTTATTTAAAAGCAAAAGTGTACCGTACATTTTATGTTTTATCTTTGCTGTAGGGAATTAATTTTATTAAATCAAAGCACGCATTTTATTCATAAAATCGATCCGTCTTACTTCGGACTCGAAAGTATAATCTCAAATATGTGAATGTACACGATTGATGATATAAATGGTATCGTCTTTGCAAGGATGGTCACATCAGTTACACGTGGCGTAATTCAATCTTAAGTTCATTCTACATTGAAAAAAATCTTAATTTCAAAGAAATATTTCTTAAATCATGAAAATTTCTTTGATCCAAAGAAATAATTTTTTTTAATACGAGCAAAGAAATATTTCTTTGAAATTAAGATGTTTTTTTCAGTAAAATTACATAAGCGTGTAGAATAGGCTTTAAAGGATGCAGCGTATCCGATACGCATGTAATGCAATCGGAAGATCATTTTTCACTTGTATTTAATAGCACACATTTTGTCGATGCGTGCTATTTAATCTTGTGAATGTACTATTCAATTTTCACCTTATCTACGGAAGTACGTAACGTAATCAAGAATCTATTAGGAAATATTTATGTCAACGTATATATTCCTTAAAATCATTAAAATTAAGGTAGGATGTTTCAATGTTCATTAATTTCTTTTAAAATTTATTTGCGTATAAAATTTTAATTCATTTTCAATTACATCCCAATGAACACATGTTGATATATTATGCATTTATTAAATGTATAAAGTATAGTATAAAATTGGTATAAATATATGGCATATACGTTAAAAAATTGTCCATCTAACATCGAAGTCACGCGTAGAAGTTATATATTTATATTAATATTTTTCTTATAGTTAAGTTTTGATTAACACAGAAATATCTAAACACAAATAACTTATATATATATGATTAAAAATAAAAGCTTTCCACTAGTAAAATCAAAATTAAAAATTAAGCAACGAGTAACAATAAACATTTTACTTTTTATATTTTAATATAATTTTAAATAAATATCAATAAGAATTATTCGATGCTATCGTCAGTGTTATATACAATATTGAATTAACAGAAATATTTTTAACTTTTATTTAAATTTAATTTGAAAATAAATAACTTAATTTATTAAAAATTTCTAATTAAATTGTACATATATAAATTATTAAAACTCAAAAATGTATTATTAAGATTGTTATTTATATTTCTCATAATGTATGTACATTGTTATATATCAGAGGAACAGTGATAAACCAAAATTCTCCAAGTTAAATAAAATCATATTATTTTTATAATAACTTCTTCTTCTTACGTTAGACCTCTGACTTGTGTTACATCTCTTTCATATTCTTATGATGCTCACGTTGGTTATTTAATTGCCACAAACATATATAGGACCTACAGTTTTTAATACCGATTCCGAATGGCGAATTTTTCAAGCAGATTTCTGTGAACAAGAATACTTTCGGGAAGTTACCGGCCTTTTCCGAGAAAAGCATAAATACTTTAGTTCCTGTTATCTGTCATGATAGGATCTGTCATGCCAGAAGTCCAGGAATTAAACCCAGGATATGGCATTTATAATAACTTCTACATATGTCAAAATATAAAGCAACTTATTTCTGTAATTACACTTAGTAAATAATAAATTAAATTTAAATTTAACTTAATACATTTTTTAGTATTATATATACATAATTTGTTTCACAAATTACTTAATGACATATTGAGCAGCAGCATTAATGATTGATAACTAATAGAAATTATTCAATTGGGTATAATTTGACATTATAAATTTAACAGTGTTAAAAAAAAACAGATGTTTTTTCTTTAAAATACTTCGGGATGTATTAAATCGCAGAAAATGCTTCAATTGTCAGCTTTAAAAATTTATTGTAAAAAATATGTAAGAAGATTGTTTCCAGAATCACACTTACTTGCCGTTCCGAGTACTATGAGCATGAACGACATTAGGAGAACACCACGACCCCACATAGTGTTTTTTATCATGATCCCCGATTAGCAACACTGAAATCGCAATGGATCACAGCCGGATTGATACTGAAGATGCAGGAGATTACACTCAAACTGTTGAACGGCGCATCAGGATCCCGCATGAGTTATGCCTGTGTCACCTTATGCATTGCAGAAGACTAAGAAATGCGAATTGAAAATTACAATTTAGCCAATTAGAACAAAACGGATTAAAATTAAAATTATCTAATCAACCGAATTCTAATCTTTAATTCGCTATCCTCAATCTTCAATGCGTAATGTAAGGGGCATTAATTTGATCTTCTTCTTTCTTGTCTTTCGCACCTTCAATTCTATGTTTCGTCCCTGTCAAAGTGGAGGAATCCGATGATTCTTCGAGTTTGAGTGCGCGATTTACACTGACGTTTCTGGAGGACGCATGCTCTCTTAGTAAACCCTGCCGATCTCGACCGGATGGCGCAGCGAGGACCAAAGACTGAAAAGGAAGGCACCGAACAGACAAGCGAAGGTGATGCGAAAAAGAGGGAGAGAGACCGGAGGCCATCGGGATCAATGGATCGCTGGATCGCGGGTGGGGTACTACTGTCCCAGATCGAAATACTTTTCATGTTACGCGTATAACGATGCACGATCGCGAAATAAGGCAACACATATGAGCGAGCGCGCGAAAGCGTCTTTCTTCTTTTTTTGTCGGGCAAATTAAATTAAATTAATAACAACTAATTATAGTAAATGCGACTACCTATTAAAAATCGTGATTTCAGACAGCTATGTTGCAATTAAATGCTCAATGTGTTGTCGTGTTTTAAAAGGGTACGCTTGAGCGATAATATTAAAGATTGATTTTTGTACTAGAGTGATTAATCTAAAATATTCTACTGAATATTTTTAATTAATCTTCAATATCACAGACATACAATCTCAACAGCGTAACGTTTCAATAGATCGAGTATTGGATGATCGTAGCCGGAGAATCGCACCTGCGATTATTAGAAACACACGCGGCGGTCGTTCGGTTCAAACTGCTACCGTGCGTAATCCAACTCCATTCTCTCGATGCAACATGAGAGTCGTCCAATGGCATGGAATCCGCACTGCTGTATTAGCACTAACATATACTAATCGATGAGTCCATTTTAAATCTAGATAGTTGCATCACTGAATTAAGCTAAACTTTGATAAACTTCTATTTTTATACACAAGCTCTCATAATATTTAAAAAAAAGTCCTGCCAATAAAGGATTTTTTTAACGTTCAAAGGCTATAAGGCAAATTTTCCTACGATTTATTCTTACGTTAAAGTAGAAAGATAGTAAAAGAAAATATACAGTAATGACAACTATGTACATGTATATGTATTATATAATACAAGTTTCATATGTAGAATTAATATCCATAGTTGAATAAATTATGTTATATAGTTATAGACAATGTCGTGATTTGATTATGAGAAACTTATAATAAAGGAAATCGAGTTTGATTTTGAAATTGTACCATCTGAAGTCTAGATCTACAAGTTGATGAACAAGCTGGGATTCGGGGATCGAAAGAACCTCTGAATATGTGTGAATCAATAATAAGCGTGTCGACATGCCGAGTGTGTAGCCGTTTCTGCGTTATTTTTATCAGAGTAAATGAAGCGGTTACTATTATGATAAAGATAATAAATTATTTTAATTTAAAGAAAGGAACAACGAGACACCGTTCGAGAGATCCTGTCATGCACTTTTGCTTTAATACTTTCATTATTATCTGCGTTGTTGATCACATTTTCCACACTTTATGTCTTCGATTCCAAGAATTTGCCTTGACTTGTCTAATAAAAGAGAGAGATTTAGAATACTTTAAATCTTTTACTTTAGTAATAAAAGGATTATTATATCTATAAAAGTCTATAGGTACTTGAAATACATGACAAAAACAACATTATTTTTAGTAATATTGCTCATATTGCTTATTAGTATTTCTGAAATTTTACTTGCTAAAAATTTTTTGTTTTTAATCGCACATAAAAATTATTTATGTACAGACATTCTTACTAAGTAAAAATCAGGCAGAAAAGTCATAATATTAATAATTTTTATGCAAAACGGGAAATGGAAAATTTTTTTGTAGATAAATCTTCAGGACAAGTGAAGGACGAGACGTTTTATTTTTCATATAATTTAAAATTAAGTAAAAACTTAATGGTAAAGTCTAAATGATTTACAACATATTATCAATTAAAAGGTTTACATAATCCAAAGAGCATACGTAACTATCTCGGCGTTTCATACGATTGTTACAAGAACCTATGACTATTTTGTTCATCGCGAATTATCGAGTGGATCGACTTAATGTCTATTTTTAACCATTGCCAAGGAAGAGATTTTTATAAATTTGACAATAGATTATTGAAATATATTGTCAAATTTACAAAATATAGTGCCAAAATTGTTCTTGCTGTTTGTATTATTGCGGTAAGTCTGATAAATTATAATTAAAAAATAATGATACACACAAATTTTGATTGGCAGCAATCGATCGTAAAAAAAATTAATTGGAATTTTTATCTAAAATTTACTAAGAATTTAATTTTCACAATGATTGTTCTCTTTCAATTATTATTTGTCTATTTACAACGTACATAGTTGAAAATCTTTACATTTTATGTATTTCAAACGTAGTTTGTCCAAATTTTTGTGTTAATTTAAACAAGATGAATATGTTAGATAGTAACATAAACATTTATGTAAAAATTAACACAAGAAACGTAATACTTTGACTCAATTTAAAACTAAATTGTAGAAGCATTTTTCATTAGTAAAGTTAACATCTATATTATGTTAATTTAATACGTATAGTTATCTTTTATTTATTTATTCTAGAATTTACATATGTCCTAGAACTTCATTATTTCTATGTTATTTAATCATAAGTTGTGTTATTGTAATGTTAAATATTCCATTTAACAAAAAATATTTAAACAACACAATTATCTTAAGTTAAATTAACACTGGGATAAGTTAAAAATTTAATACAAAAATTTTAATAAAGACGGGGTTTTAACACGAATATAAAATGTCTTTTACAGTATATTACAGATTGATCTGCGACATACGGTTGCTGTTTTGTGAGCGTAAAGAGCTCTGAACTTATCTCACTACGCATGGGAAACAATGAAGCAATAATAAGTATTGTAGTATTTTTCTTTCCCATAGTTTAATTCGGACACTGCAAATCTGGTACGATTGTTTACAGCATATTGCGTGAATCAATTCGCGCGTGATGAAGGAAAGAACCTCTCTCGGAAAATTACGAGACTCTCATAAAAAAGGCAACGATTACTTGAAAAGGAGACATTTGCGTTCTAATAGGTGTGCGAAAGCCTTTTACAAAATACGAGTTGCGCGGTTCCATCAGAACATAGGAAATATATGCCCCTGTCTAAGGTCGGAAATATTCAGAAGAAGTTGCATTTTGTCAAATCTGACGTTATGTGCCACGTCGTGTAACGAAAAATTCAGAATTACTTGCAATAAAACGAACGTTAAACTATAAAAATAAACGCAATCTGACAATATTCGAAAAAAAATTTTTTTTACACAAAAATCATATTATATTTAATACAGTGACTTTACAACTTTTATTTAATTTGAACAATTTGTACCATGCGCAGCTAGAACTTTTTAAAGAAATCTCATAATAAAATTTTATAAGAACATTATAACGACAGGAAAATGCTTATTGAATTAGTTTTTTTATTAGTAATCTGTTGCCCTTTTATCGAACACACGCGAGCACATCTGTGAATTCTTTTTTCGATATTTTCTTCATCATTACTAAATCCAAAACGTTGAATCAGAGCAACTGAATCATACAATTCGTGAGAAAATTTACCACGTATAGGCGATATAAACGCGCTTATAGGTTTCTGAATATAGATATCAAAATTCTTTAGAAAAGAGATAATTAAGAATAAAATAAATGTACAAAATCAAGATTTAAATAACTGTAATTAAAAAGCATCAGGCGCACGCCTACACACTGCAAAGAATGAATAAGATATATTCCTGAAGCGGATAACACATGAACATATCCATAATTGGCAGAGCAAGAAACGATTATGACCAACATAAAAGAATTTATATCCTTTAGATTTAATTATATATATTCTTATTAAACTCTTTACTTTTGTTTAATAGAATATAAAAGAGGAGATAAAATTTACTTCTATTTCAGAGGTGTATTTATTTTTGTACCCTGCACACAATTAAAAAAAGACACTAAAATTAAACTAAAGAGTAAAAAAGCGCATATGTTATTAAATTTATGTATAAATAATAATTACTCTTATATGAGAGGACAAGAACGACCAAACGAAGACTGTATTTCATAGTGATAATATATATCTTTGCTTTTCGTTTACGTAAGTGGTTATATTGCGCTTACAATTAGACGAAACCTGCAGTTACAACTGCGAGCGTGGTTTTAGTGCCGCGACGAGTGATTGCTATCGAGAGATATCGATCGATTTACAACTGTCGGCAGACGTTACACCTGCAAGAACAGATCTTCGATTCCTTCGTTGGAAGAATCGCCTCATTGGGAAGCAACCTGTTGTGAAAACGCGACTTTTAATCGACAACGGTTTATACTATATTCCTTCTTTTCTATACGCTCCGCATTGAATTTTCTCTAAAATTCCAAGAGAATTGTTGAAGCTCTTTGTACATAAATGGCACAAAACACATACACCGGTATACACAGTATAACGGCACATTCCTTTTGCAGCAAAAGAAAAGAATGTGTAAAATGTAATGTTTCAAAACATGGTTATATTTAATTTAATTAGTTGTCCGAAGGTAACGCGATATAATAGATTAATAGAAAGTACAAAAAACATTGCATTGTCTCTCATAATACTTCTATTCACTCACCACTGCTATTTCAGATTGTAATATTTCAGAAACAAAAAAATATACAATAAAATGTTTACATAAAAATGTATTAATATATAGAAATGTATTTCAACAAAACAATACTTGCAATCAATATAGAATCAATTTGTATAAAATATATTAAAAACTTTCTTTTTATTTTGTTTTAATTAATAAAAAGTATTTATCTGGAAATTAATTATACCTAATCAAAAACGAAATGATGTTTACAGCTAAAAACTATCAAATTATAACATATAAGAGTCTATAATTCAATTATATTATTAATTTATTAATTTTTTATCAAATTATAATAATATATAGAAATAAATATGATTTATTATAATTATTTTTCTCACCAAAACAAAACAATTTTTTATCAAAATAAAAAGAAAATAATTTTGGTATACTGTAGTTGTGTTCCATTAAAATTTATGACTTATAAGTCTTGTAAGAATTTATGACTAGTATTCTAATTTTACACGTACATATCGTAAGATTATTCATAAATATCTACGATTTCTCGTAAATTGTATGACTAGTAAAAACGTAAGAAACTGTCTGTAAAGATATTGTAAGCACTTAAAAGTTCTTATAACTCTTACAAGAACACATGTTATGAGCCTTACGATTATGCTGTTAGAATTTAGACATTAGGTATACATACACAGCGCTACCAAATCTCGTAATTAGAAAGACAATTTTCGACAATAGCTATAACAGAACACAACTCGTATAGATTTATTCTTTGCAAGAATTTGTAAAAATTTGCAAGAATTTTTATTACATAAAGAATTTTTATTATATCTTTTTGCTTCTGACGTCACGATTTGAATATAGTAGTAGTGAATAAATAAGAATAACCATAAATCTTTTTGGCACAAGCTCTAATCTTTCAAATTCTTCCATTCTTTATTATTATTAAAATATTTTTACTTAATTTATTTTATTCAATAAAATACTCAATATATCC